CAAGACTCTTCATCTCTTGTGTAAAGATCTTGTTTTTTTGTTTCTCTTGGATTTGAGTTTCATCATAAGATTGGGAACATGAAACGTTTCTTGACTAAATGAGTTCTTTTTTTTCTGGAATGTAAATAGTTTTGAGATTATATAAACATGGAAGGAATCATTGTGAGAAGAGTTATCCCATCTGATAACAGTTGTCTCTTCAACGCAATTGGGTAAATTTATAAGCTTTTTTTTTTTAGTCAAGAACAAGTTTTTGTAGTTCATGTGTGTTTTGAGGATTCCGTTTTATCTTTTACAGTTATGTAATGGATAAGGACCAGAAGAAAGCTCCTGAGCTAAGACAGGTTTCTTTCTTTCTTCATCTATTTTTAGCTTCCTTTGGTTGCATTCAGTGTAGCTTAGACTTAGAGGTTGATCTTGATTTGGTTAATATCCAATTCAAAACGATCGAAAAACTAGTAATGCTTGAGTAGGTTTATGGAAGGAATGTTCCTACATGAATCGAGTATTTCCGGTAGTTGTTTTGTGAATTTTTCGGTTAATTGAGACATTAGATTGGTGGTCTTTTTCGCTAAGGTGATAGCTGCAGCAGTAGCAAGCGACAAGGAGAAATATAACGAAGCGTTTCTAGGGAAGAAAAATGAAGAATATTGTGCTTGGATTCTCAATCCGGAGAAGTGGGGAGGTATCTTTGCCTAGATCGTTGAATAACTCCGTGTTTGCTTACGTATGGTTTTTAAATTGGATTTAGTTATATATCAGGCGAGATAATATATATGTCGGTCTGTTCATGATCTTTCATGGCTAATCGTGTGGCTGATCTTTGCAAGGTTCATCAGTTGGTATTGATAAGTGTCTTTCCATCTTCTTTGGTTTTGTGTAGGTGCGATTGAGCTTTCGATATTAGTGGATTATTATGGTCGAGAAATTGCAGCTTACGATATTCAAACTAGTCGATGTGACTTGTATGGACAGGTATCATCAAACTTCATACATCCATAAAAACTTCAAAAATGTCAAGCAGTAGTTTCGCTTTTGCAGACGAAAAACTACAGCGAAAGAGTTATGCTAATTTACGACGGTCTTCACTACGATGCTCTCGCTGTAAGTTCATATATATTCTTCATCTAAAAAAAGGTAACTTTAATAACCAAACTGGTGACTTAATCATTACTTCCTTGTTACAATTTTCCAGTTGTCTCCATTTGAAGGAGCAGAGGAAGATTTCGATATGACTATATTTCCAGTTGGTAAAGATAGATCCATCGGATCAATCGAAGGGCTTGTTCTAAATCTAGTAAAGGACCAACAGAGGTTAGTATATAAGTGTTAACCATAGTTTTGTTAAAAGTTGCTCAAGGAAACAAGGAATAAGCCCTGTGATTTGGTTTTTATCTGTTTCAGGAAAAGGAGTTACACAGATACCGCAAACTTCACTCTGCGTTGCGGTGTATGTCAAATCGGAGTTATTGGACAAAAGGTCATTTTCTTTGTCTCCTTGAATTCTTCATTAGGTTTTGGTTCATTGATCTTTGAGGTTAAATTTGTGAAACATATAATTGAAATTGAAAAACAGGAAGCTGTGGAGCATGCTCAAGCAACTGGTCATGTCAACTTTCAAGAATACAAATAAAAGAATGATTCTTTCATACAAATCCAACAAGGGGAAAATAAAATACAAAATTACGATGTCTTTAAATTTTAATTGTTTGTTGTTTGTTAACAAATTCAAAATTTATGGTCTGTTGTTGTACAATTATTATCTTTTCACACCAATGTCATGAAAAACAAAATGGAACATATTTGTCTTCATTTTCTTTGGATTTAAGAAACAAAAATCGCCATTATTTATGCAGAGTAGCTTTTAGCCTTTTAGATTTGGTGAATTTGCAGGAAACTAATAACTATATATTATATAAATTTGATGAATAAGTTTCTAAGGAACATTAGCCTTCTCTTACTCTGCTAAAGGTTTTTGTTTCTTCCACAATGATGAGATAATAACATTAGAGTACACATTGCTTGACTGCTGATGACCAAATTGACATACATAATCTAAACTCCGGTCTAAACCGCTTGCCTGGCTCTGACTACTTCACCGGAACATTATTACTTCATACAGAATCAGAAACCGGTGAGAGATCAGAGAACCGCTCGCAGTGCCCCGGGATGAAAAGCTGGAACCAGAGCAGTATTGGCTCTCTAAATCTTTTGCTTAAGGACATGCTTTAACTGGACCTTTTGGCTTTCAATTCGTGCTTCGATGAGTTTTGCCTTCAAACTATTCTTCTGTGCACCTCTAGGCCATTCTATGCAACCTTTCATTCCTCCACGGTTTACATGAGGATGATTTGCGGAATCCGGTGAAGAGCTCCATTGTCCAACCAAATCCATCATAGGGCTAAATCCGCCTTTGCTCGAGCCTCTATCCGGTGAAACCATTCCTACGCTCAATTTCCTTCCGTTTGAAACCCTTCCTCCGTTCATACCTTCCATTGATATTACCTTGTAGTTGCTATCTCTATCTCCATTACTGCTCGCACCTGATGATCTCCAGAGTTTTGCTATTGATGAAACCTTTTTGGTTGACCTTCTTGGAATCGAACAAACTTCGCTTATTTCTGTGGTTGGAGTCATTGTCTCTTCCCAACCTTTGCCTAAGAACTCTGTACCAAGACTCGAGGCGTTGCTGTCTCGGTGATGGTGATTGTTGTCGTTGTTTACAGATGGAATGCTTCCATCAGGTGAGTAGCTAGATCCTTGTTCTTCGAGATGGCTAACTGTTTCCCAACCGCTATCATCTTCTTCGATGTCGCCGTTCTGGTGAGCAAAAGCATCTGAATGTCTCCCTTTCTTGTTGATCCTGTTGACGTCTGGACTCACTGTATGAACTTTAGAACCGTGGCTGGTTGGACTGTAAGCAACAGATTTCTCCATTTCTCTATCATGGGCTTCACCGAGATTCATTTCTTCGAATACAGAGTAGATATCATCCGGGTTTGCAGGCTCATATGTAAATTCCTTGATTTCTTGGATATTAACCGATGCAGCGGTTTCTCTTAATAACTCTGCCTCTCTCACCTCTTTGACATCTGTAACGATATCTCTTGACCTAAGGAAAGAATCCAAATCTGCTACAAGCTTGTTCATTTGTGAGTACCTTTCCTCTAGTGCTACTTTGGCATCAATAAGCTTCATCTGGACACGTTCCTCACGCCATACTTCAGCCATCTGCAGCATTCTTCTTTCATCGTCTACTTCTTCTCTGAGGCTCATAGATTCTCTCTTCAACGCCTCAATCTCAGCTTTATCTTCTCCTATTTCCTTGGCAAGTTCATCGCAAACTTCCTCAATCAATTCTCTCGCCTTCCTTTCCTTTTCACAATCCTGCATGTAACGCTTCACAGCTAACTTTGAATCTGCAAGCTCGTTGACTAATTTATGATTGACAATTTCTAATCTCTGACGGGTTTTCTTCTCCCTACTCATATCAGCTTTCATGTCATCAATGATTGCTCGGACCTTCTCATGCTCTCTGCTCCGCCAAGCAGCCCTCTCCTCACTAACTTTCCTCAAGAACTGCTCAAGCTTCTTTTTGTGAGATCGCTTCTCATTCTCGAGATCTTCAATACGAGCATGTGCTTGTTCCAGCTCTACCTCAAGGGAAGAAACCAATGACACAGCATTCACTTGTTGATCAATACGCTTCATGTTGCTATAAATTTGATGTACTTCATCCATTGTATCCATGCAAACAGGATCCCATTTTGTCGCCCCCTCCATTGCCGACTGGGGAAATGGCATTGAAGGCTCGAGCTGACAAGAAAACAATATACGACTCAAGGTCAAGAAATCATTAATAAGTTACATAAAAAGAACCTTAACAGACAAGAATAGCTCTTCAGAGATATGTATAGAGTTCCGTGCGTTAGAATATCCAAGTTAAACAGTTATATCAAGACTTTGAGGGTTTTATTATACCCATTGCCCAAAAAGGTAAGACTGGAAAAGGCCTCATGAACTAGCTAAGAAGCAACTCGAACTCTCAGATTCATAATCTCAATCTCATTTAAGTTTTTCCTTTCTGAACTCTTCAATAATACCAATAACTCCCCAATCAAATACACCACTCAACGAGAACACCTTTCTTGGTAAGATTCTAGGAGGGAGGTGATATAAAGAAAAGCATAATAACACAGAGTGTTCTGATTCTAGACCAATAAATTCGCAATCGAATACAGTATATGTATGAGACGGTGTTTAAACTAAGCTCCAAAATTCAACAACAGCTCCTGTGATTTCCATGTATCTCTGCCTGATGTTTACATACACCTATTTGTTTAGCTAGAAGATTAGGAAGATCAACACACCTTACACAAAAATCCATTTTTCGTCGTAGATATAGTGCTAGGGTTCTGCCTTATCTTGTTGCTTTGACCTCCAGAAGGTTTCTCACTATGATGATAAAGAAATGGAACTCCCATGTATCCACCACCTCCCTACAGGGTAACAACAACGAGATAAACTTAATCAACATAAATTCCATATCAACACTTCCCAGATCTTTACTATATCCAAGACTACCTACAATCACTCCAGATTTTCTAATTGCATATATGTTGATCAAGCAGTGATAGAAACATTGAACTTCAAAGCTAAGCAATCACCAATTCAGGTAATAATTTGTGATTGATCACATACTTTGAATACACAAATCCTACAAATGTAAATGAATAACACTATTAGATCTCGAGGAACCAGAAATTTCCCAAAAAAAAAAAAAATGTACCTGAAACCCTAATCCCTCTTTCCCCTTTCTATCTCCGCCGCTAGAAACCACGTCGGGTACTTGTAACCTCCATAGCCCAGCGGCGAGTTTCCTAACAGAGACAGGACGCGAAATTTTCCTCCGATCCTTACGACGACTCGTTTCTCTCTCAACCTCGTAATCATCGTCTTCCACAACGCCGTTTCTCTCCTTATTCCGATCTTCAACTTTCCATTTCAAAAGAGGAGTCTCCGGTCGACTTCGTCTCCCACCAGAAGCACCGGATCTTCGATGACGAGTCAAACTCGGGTTCCTTGCTCTACGTCTAGTGACTACTGTTGTAGTAGTAGTAGCTGCTCTTTGTATAGCTTTGAGATCTGAACCGCTATTGAACAGATTCGTCTCCGACTCCAAAGACGGTAATGTCGCCGTCGTATACGGCTTTCCGGTGACTTTCATCTGTTCTTCCACTTAATCACCGCCATAGACAAAGGTGATTCCAACGTGAAGAACCAACCAAAACGGAAAAAAGCTCGAGGAATCACGAGACGAAAATGCGTGATAC